GTAGACCGGTAGATCGTTGTAAGGTGTTCGCGGCTTGAGACCGCTTCAGCAGCCCGTAGCTGCTTAGCTGACCACTTCCTCAAAGCACTGCGCGGCGCGGGAGTTCGTTAGGGTTTTCCCATGTACTTAAACATCCAGCTCGTGAGCCAGGCGACCATTCGGATCATTCCCCACTTCTGGGAACAGTATCTGCTCCATTCATGCTTGGTTCGTGGCAATGGTTCAAAGCGTGCGCACTGTTATCACTTGTGAATAGCTATGAACAATCATTCGACGCCAAAGACCTCGGGACCCAGGTGTAGCCGCAGCACACCCATGCAGTTCGATGATCAGCTGGATGCGTGCTAGTTTTTTTTTTGGTCGACGCTGTTTAATGTTTGCCTTGGCCACCTTGGACGTCTTGCGGCATCATGACCAAGGCCAATGCCTGCAGTTGCATCGTGGTTGTACATTGGGAAGACCGAGACGAGTTTTTGATGAGATTTGCGCAGGTTGCCAGTGCAATGCCGAGCTCATCCAGTGCAGCAGGCTTCCGGCTTTCTGATTGAATGTGCTTGTGTGGTCCCGGTCCAGGGGTTTCCATGTGCCGAGGTGATCCACAGCATTTGGTCTGGGGGAGACCAGAGCTTGACAGCTTCAGCTCCAGTTCGGCCGGGAGCCTACAGGGTATTGAAGCGGAGAGATTTTCAGTTGACTACTAGACTACGGTTCTTTACGCCCGAGCCAGTATCGAATAGGGAAGGCGAATTATTGTTCCAAAATGGCCGAGGGCGACGAAACCTTCAGCCTGTACGAAGGCACGGAGGGCGACAGGCCAGCTGCAAGCTTCGGTTGCTTGGCCCTTTCGCTTGATCTGCACGGTTCGCCCAAGAGCTTTATGCTTCGTTTCTCCATCCTTTCCCTCTGGTGGCTCGTGTGCTGCTTACCTCTCCCTTTTTCCGTGCCACCTCTTCCACTTTGATTGGCTCGCGTCACCATAGCTTTTGGAAGCAGCCCGCTTTACTTCATGACCAGGATTCAACAGCAGCGAGTCCGGCAGCCAGTGTGCTGTTGCTTTCTATCTGGGGCATGTGACATGGAAAATTTTTTGGATCGTTCGACTGACATATCATGATTTTGCAGCTTTCACATGCCCAGGTTGCACCCAGATCATTCCAGATTCATGATCAATGGACTTGCGTCTCAATAATTTCGTTTAGACTCAGCCAATGCTAGACATTCATCGGACGCTCATGTGCGGCATTGAAAATCAGTGAGGGGCACAGCTTATTGTACCTCCCTCCATAAGCCTCGGCCGCATGATAACAGTGTAGGTGTGGGTGTGAGCTTTGATCGGAGAGTTTTTTAAGATTCGAGTCGCCAGCTACCACAGCACAACCTCCAAGCTGGCACGGTCATTCTTTGAGTACAGCTAGGCGAAGCGGCACGGGGTGAAGCGAGATAAGGATCACAAGTGACGCTCAATTGGACGACGGCATGAGGTAGCCAATGTAACGATGGAAATACGATGTCGTGAAACGTGAAGCTGAGCAAATGCTGAACAACAGCAGCTACTTAAGCTGTTGCCTCGATGTGCCCTTCAGGTGGTAGGCTGGGCTTGCACCGAAACCGTGAAGCCAAGTGGTGATTGGGAGCGAGGTCAGTGGCAGCCAAAATCTAACCTTCCTTTGCCCTCAGCGTCTTTGCTGGGAGACTGTTTCTCTGCAGACTTCCGAGGCTGAGGCCTCAAGCGCGCACCAGCTGTTGCACGATGGTGATACATCCAATCCTTCTAGCTCTGCGCTTCGTCTGCACGTGAGACGGGTCGAGTTCACAGTCAGGGTTGATCCTTGAGACTGTGGCGACATCATCCGGCTGTAAAATGTTATTAACGGGCTATTGAGACCCTCAATCGCTCTCCTTCATCTGTGGAATGCCGAGGCAAGCCAAACTGAAAGCTCGGAGAGCCAACACAACGACGGCAAGAAGGACGGCCAAAGCAAGTGCAAGATGTCGAAAGCACATTTCACAGTCGCGCGCTGGTGACTGTGAATGGAGGCCAGGCGCGTGGTGGCTTGGGGCAAGGCCTGTTGCAAATCAGCTTTTCTCGCACCTGTGACTACATGTTGTCCTCTCTCTCTGGCCCAGGATCATGTGAAGAAGTTCTACGCGGAACTCAAAGCAGTGGCGAAGCACACTTCCCCCACCAATAGGAGCTCCTTGCGAACATGCGAAGTTGTCAATCCAGCTGCTCATGAATGAAGAGGCATGCATTCAGTGGTCAGGTGGTTGTCATGCGGCTTGGACATGTCCTCTCCATGCTCTGCATGACAGAATCTGGTGCCGATGTTTGCATAGAGACGTGAAAGTCGCTTGCTGCAGTGGATCGGAGTGGGGCAACATGGGCTTGCTTACTTGCTGCTGCCTCGCACGACGGCTTTGCCATCAAGACGGAAACATTCACCCAGAACCTTTCTGGCCGGTTGCTTGTGTTTTTCAGCTTGGACTGCCTTCTGAGACTATCTGAATCGAGTATTTGGGCTGCAATCAACTGCGGTGATTGGGCGAAGCATGTTGGTGTCATGTCAGGACCGCCTGGGACGCCACTGCGAAGAAAGTGGAAGAGCTGGCCCATTTTCTCGAAAGCAAGGCAGGCGCTTCTGTGCCACCAAGAGCACGCGTACGCCGCGTGCCGCACCAGGACCAGCTAGAATCCGAAGCCGACGAGGAAGATGAGGCCGACGATTCAGAGGACGAGAACCTTGGCGAAGGCACACGCACCTGAGAGTTTGCATATGGGACTTCCACTCAAGCTTGATGGATGTATGTCACGGTTGTTGCAAACGCCTTTGGAGGTATGTGGTCAGTCGGGTCTGAGCACCATGCGACAGGGCAATGCAGGCTCGGCACGGTGCCACTGCTCGTTCAATTCCTAACGTCGCTTGTTGTCTTCCAGCATCTTGCAGCCTTGCACGCAGGCCGTGCCATTATGTGCGCACCTCAGCCGACTCAGCGTTGCCTACCGTGAGATGCCTGCCACTCTCGCAACCTCAGCACTCTGGCTCAGGTCTTCGCGAAAAGTGGTTGTACAAACGGCGCAGCGCAACTGCCCAAGTGTTGCAGTGGCGTTGTCCGTTCTGTGTGCTGGACCCTCCCTCGCTCCCTCCCTGCCTGCCTCCCTGCCGGCCTGCCTCCCTGCCTCCCTTTCTAACAGGGCCCAAACTGGGCGGAGACTCTGCAATTTCCTCACCTGAGCATGATCCGAGCTATTCTCCTCAAGCATCCTCAAGCCACAGTCCACCCTTAAGATCCCGCGTCTGCGCGTCGCCAAGGTGTACGTTCTGCCATTTCCAACACCCGAAGAGGTTCCGGCCAAGACCCTGCAGGTCCGAATCCCGGATTCTTCCGTTTCCGCAATTCACTTAATTGGAGTGTTAAAATAATACACAAGCAGACTTATAGTGGGGTGTTAAATTAATACCATAATTACAGCCCCGGAGCCTTGAGCCCTAAAAGGCCCTAAGCCTGGCATCGTACCCCTTAGCCCTACACTCTTTTGGGCTGCCTCCCTGGCATTGCAGTGGGGCTGAGGTCCAAGCGATACAAATGCAAACGCCTGGCGTCGGTTTTGGACAAGGTGACTCGCTTCATTGTGTGTGTGTGCGCTTCGACCCACCGAAGAACAGATCAAAAGAAGCAGTTCAGCAATCGGTATTCAGCCGCGAGGTGTTTGACAACGACCCTGATTCTTTTCAAAGCCTGGTGGAGGAGCTGAGCTCCCAAGGCCTCTGCAATCAGCACTGATCCAGGAAAGGTGCCGAACATGGACCTGTGGCATGCCCTGTCTACAGGTGGCTACCTGAACACGGTTGTCAAGAGCAAGGTTAGAAGCCTGCAACAGCGGACTCAGGCTGGCGTCGCAGCACAGCATGACTGGCTGCTTTCGGCATCTAGCCAATCTAGCCTGCATCTCGCCCTCGCCAGGGTCCGCAACCGCTGAGCCCACCGCGTCGAGCTCTGCAACCAGGTCTGGTGTCTCTTTGAATGAAGTTGTTTTTGTGTAGTAGTAGAGTCCTCGAACGCTGGACTTAGGAACTACGGTCATCCTGCAGTAGCGGACATGGACTACCGGGAACACATGCGCGCATACACGGAGATGTGTGTGTATATCTATCGATGTAACTATAGAAACCGCTGCTCTACTTTACTGTGGGGCAGAGGATGGTTCTACTTTGGGATGACCGCAGCTATTGAAGCTCATTTTCTCCCACGGCCGCTGCCAAATCCGGCGTTTCGAAGGCCATCGCTGAGACATGCTGAAACTGAAACTGAAGCGTCCAGCAGAAGCCTTCGGCCTCATTCGGCCTGATGAATTCCCTTGCTGGTTGCAGTGCTGTTCCGAAAGAGCGGCAAAGTGGCAGTACTTTCCGGCAGGGCCGTATTGGTCCTGCTGCGGGGCTCCACAGCATAGTGCTGCAGCTGGGGCAGGTCATGCCTTAGGCATCTGCAGGAGTTCAATGACGCAAGACCCAAGACCTGGCATCGGGTGGCCGCAGCTAAAAAGCGGAGCGCAGGGACAGCAAGTGGGGGGGGCTCGCCTCCCTTTCTCCAGAGGCCGTGTAGGGACGAACAGCATGCAATATCATTTGTTTGACAGCATCCTGATGCTTCGCCATTCGCCATCAAATGTAGACCACCACTTCTCTTGATACTGACTTTGCCATGGATGACAGCGAACTCACGGCCTGCACGGAATGAGTAACGGAAGGGTTGACAGAAGCCAATCGTGTCGCGAAACCATCGCTGCAGCCTTCCCTTCCCTTCCCTTCCCTTC